AGGGAGGCAGAGCGGGCGAGCGGGAGCGAGCAAGAAAGGCGCGCCGCCGGCTCCCCGCGGCCCCTGTCGCCGTCGCTGCCTCCTCCCGGCGGACGCGGAGAGCCCCCGGCCACCCCACCCCGATTCTTACCCGCTTCACGCCTACCTTAAGGAAAGGGAGAGGGAAAAGGAGAGGTACCTCTCTCCCAGCGAGCGGGACGCGGAGGCTCCCACAATCCCCCGCAGCAACGGCGCTGGTAAGAGGTGGCAGCGGCGGCTGCAGCCCAAGAACAAACCGCTCTCGCGAGAGAGTACACCCACCCCCACCCCCTCGCGGGTCCTGTTTCTGCGCGCGCCAGGCCCCTCCCCCTACTCAGGGCGCGCACACCACTGCGCCTTCGACGGCGGTCGTTGTTCTCTAACCCTGGAGCCCGCCTGTGGCGGGAAATGCATAGGGAGCTACAGTTGATGAGTTCGAGTCCCATCCCCTAAAAAGATTTTCCCGAACCCTTAAACTTCATGGTGCAAAATTTAAATAGGGTATGCTTTAGAAGGGAGTCGCGGGACTCAGTGCTTAGATCTGATTTCTTCTCTGATTATTCTCTCAGTATTTGCCGAGGAGTGATAGCAAGGGCCAGACGCCGGAACCCATACCATTTTGGCTAGTTTTTAATCTCAGTAATTCCGTGGAGAGTCATGGAGGCAGAAGACGGAGAACCCAGCCCATTCAAATAAAGACCACCGCGCCACTTTGAATTTGAATGAATGTAAAACGCCCGAGACTGATAGAGGTTCCCGAAATGCACATGTGAAAATCCCGAGGCCGACTTTGAGATACTGCCTTAAGTAAATAAGTGAATACAAATACTACTAACACTCAAATATTTAAAATCTTTACTATGCTGAATCGGATTCGCATCTTTGAAAAATCGTTCAGGGTCCTCTGTGAAGATAGTGGAGAGGGCAAAGATGGAGAATACCACAGACCAATAGAAAATTGAAGAGATCTTCTAGTTCAGAACTCAGCTCTTGTTCATTTCACTACTGAAGATGAGGAAGGGGAGGGTCATGGATGAATGACAACTCCATGGTTAGCAGTGCTGTTAAGGGGGCACTGGCAGAGTACCAGGAGACTATAAGGCAAGATGTTTGGCATCAATTTTAAAGTAAGGAGTGGTATTTATGGGTCTTGAGCTCAGGGGGAAAAGATGTGGGTTAGTGGCACATTTGAGTTAATGACATAAATGAAGCGATGGGATTTGGAAGTTAAGCTAGAGACAGTACAGTGAAAAGAGGTATTAGGACCTTGAGAAGCAAATCAGGTAGAGCTGAATGGCAAAGGAGATCAAATGAATACAGAGGTAGTGGGGAAAAAGCAAAAAGTTTTGGGAAGAGCAGGGAGGCACACAAATTGTACTGCCTTGGGAGCCAAAATAGAGGTCAAAGTGATCAACAGGGTCAGATGCTATCAAAAGCGAAGACTAGGACTAAAAACATCTACAAAAGATTTAGCAACACGGACGTCATCCTTATTATGGACTTGCTCCAGTAAAGTGGGAGAGGAAGTCAGACTGGAGGTGTATTGAAACAGGATGGAAACTACTCAATGCAGGAAAGGTTTGGCTATTAAAACTGGAGAAAGCAGGGTTGAGTTTTCCAATTTGCTAAGAGTTTTGTGGGTTAAAAAAAAAAAAAAAAAAAGTCTATTTTACAGAGAGCACAAGCAGGAGGAGTAGAGTGAGAGAATTGCAAGTGGACTCCACACTGGGCAGAGCCCAAGGCAAGGCTCTGTCCCAGGACCCCAAGATCATGACCTGAGTCCCACGGTCAACTGCCTGTGCCACCCAGGTGCCCCTTACTACGGGAGTTTTGAACACAACGAAAATGTTGGTAGGAAGAGTATTTTAGTAAAGTATTGGTTGAAGAAAAACAAGTTAGAGGGATGATTTGTAACAGACACTGAAATAGGATCCAGAGAAAGGAGACATGCCTTTAACAGGAGGCAGAGAGATGTGGAGTTCTCATTAGGTTTGGTTGAAGCCTTGGGAATTGAAGGTGACTTCAATTTTGTGACTAAGACGTCATTGAGGGCTAGAGTTGAATAAGGGACAATTAAAAAAAAAAGACTTTATTTATTCATGAGAGACAGAGAAAGAGGGAAGCAGAGGCAAAAAATAGGCTCCCTATGGAGCAGAGAGCCCAACATGGGACTTGCACCCTGGGATCAGGACCTGAGCTGAAGGTAGATGCTTAATTGACTGAGCCACCCAAGTACCACAAGGGACAATTTTTAAATAGCCATGGTGAAGAGTGGAACTGCAATCCCACATCTGCATTTATGTTGTATAACCATTAAGAACTGAGGCGCCTCCAAATTAAGTGATGTTTAAAGCCTACTGGTTAGCTCTGGAATGAAATTTTGGGGGATCCAAATTCCTCATTGAGTCTTGAGTCGTCCATTCAAAACCATATCTGCCTTCCACTTGGTGAGACTTTTGACTCCAAGTAATCTTGGCTATCTTGGCTAAAACTTCCCTTTATGTTGTTTCCAGCTCTTAGATGAAAGAGGCTCTGCTCCTTATGAAGAAACATGAATGCATTTTAGAACTAAGATATGCACTTACCCATGCTTTTGTATAAGGCTGTAATGCCATCTGGTGATCATACAAAGAAGGAAAGTCAAACTTTATCATTGAGTAACTATTTATTGAGGATCTGCTTAGTGGCTCATCAGCAAAAAGACACATTGGAAACCAAACTTAATACAAGATTTCAGTCATCAAATGCCTATTTCATGAAGGACACAGTACAAGGGTAGGGATTCAATGACCAATTGCCAACTCTTGATGATCGTAGTCTGATGGCGAATGCACAAGGAGTCTGGCCTCAAGGTGGTTCTGGCCGTGAGTAGAGATGAATCAAGAGCTCTATACTGGTTTGGGTGACTTGGGAGTGGGTGAGTTGTGCACCAGGGATGGTGAAGAATGTGGCTATAAAGCAAGAAATTCTGCTAAGACTTTGGAAGGTCTAAGTGACAGCTTGGTACAGCTATGTTATGTAAGACTTTAAACACCAGGAAAGAGTTTGGATTTGAGCTGATAATGAAGACCTTTTACAGTTTTGCACAGGAGACATATTGAGGACATATATTCTGATACCACACAATCATTAGGCAGCTGATAATGCTTTCTAATTATTATCATAATTTTGAGGATAAGGTACCATTATTCCTGTTTTATGTAAGAGATTAAGAAGCTTGCAAGAGATGCAGCTAAACAGTGACAAAAGCCAGGATCTGAACCCAGTTCTTTATCAGTCCAAACACAGCTTTTGAGCATTATATGATACTGCCTTCACCAGAGCTGTAGTCTCAGAATCTCTTGACAGTCCACCATCTACTTATTTTTTAACAGATTTAACGCCCTGAAACCAGGTCATCCCTATAATTGAAGCCATTTAAAAATAGAGAACTGTTAACCAATGGCTCTTTAAGCAGTGGCACGGCAGGGAGGGCAGGCAAGGGGGGGTTTAGGAAGGAATTTTTGAGTAGATAATACATGTAATAAAATTCAAAGAACACAAGTTTTCCCCAACTTAAAGGTAACACACTTACCAATCATTTCTTTTGTATTCTAAGGATTTTCTATAAAGAAACACTTTGTATGTGTATATGTATATGTGTATGTATATATGTATATGCTTGTGGTTTACTAAAGATGGCCACAAATTCTTTGCTACTCTTCTCATAGTGGAATCAATTTCCACTCTGCCTGCATCTGGAAGGGCCATATAAATGGCTTTGACCAATAGGACGCAGAAGTGACTTTTTTTTTCACAGAAGAGATAAAATTTTAAGATTTTTTTTCACCCACTTGGAACCCAGTTGCCATGTGAGATACCCAACCACTATGAAGAGGTCACATTGAAAGAAGCAAAGTACTTCAAGTCTATAGCTCCTACTGAATGAAGACTTCCAACAGCCAGAGCTCTAGCCGAGTCCATGTAGAACGCAACCACCCAGCTGAGCCCTATCAAGTGGAAGAATTTTAATACTTGTTTGAACCACTAAGTTTTAAGGTGGTTTGTTACATAGTGATACACTAAATGAAGATTTATTTACCTCTTTAATAGTAATTTCTATGCCCAGTGTGGGGCTTGAACTCATGAGCCTGAAACCAAGTTGTGTGCTCTGCTGACAGAGCCAGCCAGGTGCCCTTCCATACAGAAGTTTAAAATCTAGTCACATAATTCATTCCTTTTAAGTACGTCTCATTTTTTTTTAAACTTGGAAGGCAAAGGTACTATATTACACAATTAAAGGAAAAACCATGCTTTCTTATTGTACTTTTTAAACATCGTTCGGAGTCTATTTCTGGACATCCTTTTATCTGTTCAATTCATTGAGTAAGCTATTCGGGTGCCAGTATCAACATTTTACTCTTTTTGTAATGTTTTAACATCTGGTAGGTCTAGTTATCCTCTATGATTCTAATTTCTCACAATATTATGATTATTCTTATTTTTCCATATGAATGTTATAATCATCTTATGTAGTTACAAAATTAATCCTGTTACTTTTATTGGAATTTTTATAAACTTACAGTTTTCTTTAGGAGATTTATCTTTATGTTGAAATTTCTTGGACATGGTATGATTTACCACTGAAGGTCTCATTTGTGTCTGTCAGTATTTTAATGTTTTCTTCATCTGTAACCTCTGTACATCTATCTAATTATTCCTATCTTTATTTTCCTTCCAAGTTATCTTCAAACCTATTATTTTTTACTTCAATGGACCACTTTCAGTTGATACCCATAGATATATTTCCAAGTAAACTTACCATCTATAAGTGATTTTATCTAACTACCTTTGGTAGTAACTTTGAACAAAGCTTTTTTTTTTTTAGATTTTATTTATTTATTGGACAGAGAGAGACACAAGCAGGGCGAGTGGGAGAGGGAGAAGCAGGCTCCTCCCAGGACCCTGGGATCATGACCTGAGCCAAAGGCAGATGCTTAAAAACTGAGCCACCCAGGTACCCCTCTTTTCTCTTTTTTTAATAAGATCATTTTTAGGGTTTCCTCATTAAGCATCACACAGCCTTTTGGGTAAGACACTTTTAATAGGTTAGGAATGTTGTTCCTCAACAATTTTAACAAATGCTATTTTAGCATGTAGGGAGATTATTCTCGATATATTGTTGAAATAATCTTGGAATAACTTTTCCGTGTTGTATTATTATGTAACAGTTTGTTTATAATATGTATCTATAAAGTCTTTATGCCCTTAATTTAGCAGTTGTACTACTATGCATGTAAAATTAAAATGGGAACCCTACTCTACCCCAACCTTTAAAAAAGTAAATCTTTGGAGCACCTGGTTGGATCATTAGGTTGAGGGTCCGACTCTTCATTCAGGTCATGATCTCAGGCTGGTGAGATGGAGTCCAGCATTGGGATCTGCAGGGGCCTGGAGCCTGCTTAAGAGTCACTCTCTCCCGCTTCCCAACATTCTTTCTCTTAAAAAAAAAAAAAAAAAAAAAAAGGCAAATATTTCAGGAATGTTTTACTGTCTCAGAATTCTTATTCTGACCCTCACTGAACCCACAGTTTAGTAGGGCCAGCACTGAAAAATTTTAGTAAAATGTGACAAACACTATCATAGGGCAAGTCTGGGTGTGGGAATGTGACCCACTGAGGCCTTCCAGACGAGCATTTTTTAAAAACCTGAGATTCAGAGGTGGTATGACAGGAGGAATGAAGTAGATGGATGCTAAAAGCAAGACTAATGGGTTTGTCTGTAGATGTTCTTTGTATGCTAAGAACAAAAGAAAACCTCCTCACGCTTCAGCACCAGTGGCCAAGACGCTGATAGACTGAAAGAAGGTATTTGGCATTTGGAATGGTTTTAAGAAACTAGAAGAAACTGGCACTTAAGTAGTTCATCGAAGATATTAATCCTTAATCTGAATGAGTTTGATGATTGAAAAAGGCAGCAATTATTCATTAGAATTAGTTGGAAAGACCTGGAGGCACCATACTTAAAAGTTACAAATCAAACACTAGCTTTGGAACTAGATTAAATTAACACCACAGTAATTTCCTACCCACTGTGTGACCTTGGGCAAATAACAGCAGTACCTTGTAGGCCTGTTGAGAGGATTAAGATATGTAGAATGAGTTTACAATTCTGGCACATCATCAACACGCAGTAAATGTTGTCAGTGTTGCAAAACACCACATGTCCTGCAGTTCATTTACAGGAATATCCTAAAATGACAAAACGCATAGATTCACAGGTTATTTACTTTTATAGAGCCCCAGAGTAAACGTGTTAACATTATCCATTTAAGTCTGGTTATAACCTACATTTTAATCTTTCACCTACTTGTCAGCACAATGACCACTAGTTAGAGAAGTTTTTTAGTTGTAATTTACACACAAAGCTGTTTCACAGCTTTTAACTATAAAGACATAGATTACCAAAAAAAGTAACAAAAGGCCACACATATATTTTAGTTAACAGATGTCTCAAATTGGAACAGATCTGCAAATCTATTATTTTCATTCAATACTTTCTGAAGTTAAATTTAGTCTTAAATAGTTGTGCACTAAATTACATCTTTAGAGTCCAAGAGCAAATGCTTTGGAAATCAGACGCCATTGTTTTCATAATTTTTTTTCTTTCAAACGGTTAAACAAAACCAGCACTGTTGATACCCTCACTTACTGTGGTAATCTTAAAAAGGAGGATATGCCAATGGCATTACTCTATTTTGGATACATTTTGACACAAAGATATTCATATTTATCAGCAGAAGGTCTTTAGTCAGCTGTCAGCTGAATTGAGGCTGCTTGGCTGTATGGGAAGTGAGGAAACCTTGAGAAGCTGGTGAATAATACCTTTCAAAGGACTCTTACTCAGCATCTGCAGATTCTGATTAGCTAGCTCTGTGGGAAGCCATGGTGCAAAGATACTTGGAACGGGTATTCAGACACTCAGGCAAGGTGGCTTCTCTGCAGAAGGGCTGTCTGAGCTAAGATCTCAACTCAAAGGAGACAAAGTGGAGAAGGAAGATGGAACCAGAAAGAAAAACAGCATGTGCAGAGACCTAAGAAAAGGCTTATCAAGGACCGAAAGAAACCAGTGTGGCCAGAAGGGAATCTGAGGGTAGTAAAGATGAGGAGATAAGAGGGCTAAGGGGTATACTGTATAAGGCCTGACAGGCCATGTTAAGGTAAGCAGGGACTATTTATTGTCTATTACTCACCCTCAATGTCTAGCAGAGTTCATTTAATAAAGGCTATAAACCCATTAAAAGTGTGAAATAAATGACAGCCTTTGATAAGATATGTAATTAGCATAGGTCATTGTCTTCCTCTAACTCAGTCCTGGAGATTACACAAACAAGAAGTAAGTTAGAGATACAAAGAGACCTTGGAGGAACTGATCACGACTGCCTATTACAGAGGGGCAAGAAATGGAAGCCTAGCAGAGATAAGGGCAGAGTGCCAAGAGAGTAGGGGTAGTGCAGGCTGGGACAGAATTTTTCTGTTTTGCCTTTTCTCCTCCTGCTCATTGCCTCACATCTTTCACTGGCAGGGTGGCCCTCACCTTGCAACCTTACTTAGCGCCTGGAGTTCTCCTCCAGAGTACTCAACTTAGGAGGAGAGAAAAGTTCTACTAGCAGCTACTCTGGTAAAACCCAGATTCTAATGCAGAGGCTTTGTGCCTCAAGGTATTCTCTACCCTCCAACCATTCCCGCACCAGAGCCTGAGCTTAACTTCTCCCTTTTACAAGCTGCTGATAAAAAGTCCCATCCTCCACTGTGAGCTCCGAGAGTAAAAAATCAACTATCACATCCGCTATAAAAGCAAACAAAGCCAGCCAGTATGCTAGAGGAGACAAAATAAAGGACTATAGAGGGGCACCTGGGTGGCTCAGTGGGTTAAAGCCTCTGCCTTCGGCTCAGGTCATGATCCCAGGGTCCTGGGATTGAGCCCTGAATCGGGCTCTCTGCCAGGCAGGGAGCCTGCTTCCTCCTCTCTCTCTGCCTGCCTCTCTGCCTACTTGTGATCTCTGTCTGTCAAATAAATAAATAAAATCTTTAAAAAAAAATGACTATAGAATAAAAGGTGATGAATATTAAAAATGGAATATTTATAAAATATGGGTAACAGTGAATTAAGGATCCTGGTTATACAGTTCATTGTTCTACCAGCAGACAAGGGCCTAGGAAGCAACAGCACCTTAGTATCAAGAGCATACCTAGTGGGGCGCCTGGGTGGCTCAGTGGGTTAAAGCCTCTGCCTTCGGCTCAAGTCACGATCCCAGAGTCCTAGGATGGAGCCCCACATCGAACCCCGCATCGGGCTCTCTGCTTGGCAGGGAGCCTGCTTCCTCCTCTCTCTCTCTGCCTGCCTCTCTGCCTACTTGTGATCTCTGTCAAATAAATAAAATCTTAAAAAAAAAAAAAAAAAAAAAGAGCATACCTAGTGCCCAGATCTTGTTCCTGAATGCCATTCACCAATAAAGGAACCAGAGGTCCCTGGACAAATGTTTGACACTGAGACAGGAAAGATACAAGATGAACACAGAGCATCTTAATAGTGCCATAAAGCGAGAAGCACTTAAAAACCAAAACCTCACAATGATGGAGCATACTGAAGGGATACAGTAGCCAAACAAAGCTCCCAAAGGTCAAAGCTGGAACACAACAAAATAAAGTATTATTGGACTACTTCCCAAAGCATAACAGAAATATCCATGAGTTCATAGTGGTATAAATAAATTGAATGAGAGAAGAGATCAATTTATTTCTTAATAATTTCAAGTAACCAGGCACCTGGGTGGCTCAGTCGTTAAGCATCTGCCTTTGGCTCAAGTCCCGATCCCAGAGTCCTGGGATCAAGCCCAACATCGGGCTCCCTGCTCAGCGGGAAGCCTTCTTCTCCCTCTCCCACTCCCCCTGCTTGTGTTCCTTCTCTCCCTGTGTCTGTCGAATAAATAAATAAAATCTAAAAAATTTTTAAAAAAGAATCCAATTAACCTATCTATATATTATTCCACCTTCAAAAGAGAGTACAACCCTTGTCTTTTTTTTTTTTTTTTTTTTAATTTGACAGATCACAAGCAGGCAAAGAGGCAGGCAGAGAGAGAGAGAGAGAGAGGAGGAAGCAGGCTCCTCGCCGAGCAGAGAGCCCGATGCGGGGGCCGATCCCAGGACCCTGGGACCATGACCCGAGCTGAAGGCAGAGGCTTCAACCCACCGAGCCACCCAGGTGCCCCAACCCTTGTCTTTTAAGTGTTTGTTGCACATGTGATTTCATTCCAAAGCACACAGAATTGGGTCAGGGGGAGTAACTCTACAGTGGAGAAATTTGGCAAGACAAATCTCAGCCCAGCTGATCAAGGTAACAGCAACACTAATAAGTCATCCTGATAGAAATAGAATGGAAATTTACCTCTATGGTCTTCCTCTCAAAATCCCTTAAGCCCAGCTTATTCATGAGAAAAACTCAATCCTAATTGAGGGACTTTCTACAAAACACCTTGCTCAAATTCAAGGTAATCAAAAACAAGCAAGTCTAAGAAGCTGTCATAGCTAAAAGGAACCTGAGGAGGGGCACCTAGCTGGCTCAGTTGGTAAACCATGACACTTTATCTCAGGGGTGTAAGTTCAAGCCATACGCTGGGCATAGAGGTAACTTCAGTACAAAATCTTAAAAAAAAAAAAATAAATTGGGGCACCTGGGTGGCTCAGTGGGTTAAAGCCTCTCCCTTCGGCTCAGGTCATGATCCCAGGGTCCTGGGATCAAGCCCCGAATAGGGCTCTGCTCAGCGGGGAGCCTGCTTCCCCCTCTCTCTCTGCCAGGCTCTCTGTCTACTTGTGATCTGTCAAATAAATAAAATCTTAAATAATAATAATAATAATAATAAATAAATTATTTTTAAAAAGGAGCCCAAGGAGGTCTAATAACTAAATGTAATATCCTCAAAGAGATCTTGGAACAAAAGACATTAAGTAAAAACTAAGGAGGGGCCTATCATTGCTTAGTGGGTTAAGTCTCTGCCTTTAGCCCAGGTCCTGAGTTCAGCCTGCTGCTCTGCCTACTTGTGATCTCTCCCTCTCTGTCAAATAAATAAATAAAATCTTAAAAAACAAAACAAAACAACAAGAACAAAAAAAACTAAGGAAATGTGAATAAAGTATGGACTTAGGTAATAGTAACATATCTATATTAGCCCCCTATTTTGTGATAAATGAACTACACTAGTGGAAAATGTTATTAGAGGAAACTGGGTGTAGGGTACATGGGAATTCTTTGTACTAATCTTCACAACTTTTCTGTACATCTATAATTATTCTAAAAATAAATTTCAAGGTCCATTTTATCAGCCTTTTCTAAGGTAGTAGTTAAGTCACCCTTAACAAGTAGTACAAAATGTTCTAATATTCCAAAGAGCCTTGGAGAACAGGGAGGGCCAAAGTAACAGGCTTCTTTGAGCCAGACCTTAGGATACTAAACTGACAAATATATGACCCAGCAAGCTGGCTTATTGTTTTTAAATAGCAGTAAAGAGAAAGAATTGCTAAGCAGACATTCTAAGTATTACAGTTGATTTGTTAATTCAGTGAAATTGTTTTCTAAGAGAATATTGACAGGTCCATTAACTGGAGCTGTTCATAAAGCCCTAATTAAGCAACAAGATTCAAGGAGTCACTGTCACTCTTTTAAGTACTTAATTAGTTGCTCTTATGGGATTGTTTTCTTTTTTTTTTTTAGATTTTATTTTTATTTTTTTGACAGAGAGAGACCACAAGTAGACAGAGAGGCAGGCAGAGAGAGGGAAGCAGGCTCCCTGCTGAGCAGAGAGCCCGATGCGGGACTCGATCCCAGGACCCTGAGATCATGACCTGAGCCGAAGGCAGCGGCTTAACCCACTGAGCCACCCAGGCGCCCCTGGGATTGTTTTCTTTTGTGTGAATTCCTAGGCAGTGATCCACCTTGCTGTGTCCCTTTGGGGCCTGCACAATTTATTTCTCTGGGGTTTTATTTATCGGATTACAATTTGAGACGTAATCCACAATTTAATTTATTTATTTTAAGATTTTATTTATTTATTTGACAGAGATCACAAGTAGGCAGAGGCAGGTAGAGAGAGAGGAAGGGAAGCAGGCTCCCTCCCAGGACCCTGGTATCATAACCTGAGCCGAAGGCAGAGGCTTTAACCCACTGAGCCACCCAGGAGCCCGAAATCCACAATTTTAATGTGAAAGTCCACTGATAGCAGTTTCAACCCTGAAGGAAGGGAAGTAAATTACAGATAGGCACCAGGGATGGTCTACTCAATACTTGCTGCTCCCTTATCCACCCTGCCTTAGTTTTTCCTCTTAGTATGGCATAGGACTGAGCCTTGAAACTTGAGCAGGACAATTAAGAGGGTCACTGTGTCTCCTAATTGCTACCTACAACAGGAGGTGGCAGCTTGGAGTTAAAGAGTTACTTTGAAATGTTTTACTACATCATCTTTTATTTCCTCACCAGGAAATTTAAAAAAAAAAAAAATCAACAGGGAGTAGTAGGTGACTAATTAACTTCACTTATCAAGTAGGAAATCCCATTACATTATTTTAATGTGCATGATTAAGCCACTGAAATCTCCTGGGATATTGAATACAGGCACAGACATCAATGAATCATCCTTTTCAAGTGGCAACAAAGAGGCATCCTCCCTCCACCTGCGTAGCCTTAACAGTGGTCAGGAAGATGATCTGTATGTTCAGAGGAGCTTACCATCCCAGATTTTAAACCCTGACGTCATGACAAAAGTCATCCTCCTTCCTTAGGGACCATTTCTATTTCACTACCTAGGACTGAAGCGGTGATCAGGCTCTGCTGGAAATGAAGACTGCTGTTTTTTCTTAGAACCTCTCCTTCGGGAATATATTAAAAATGAAGAGAATCACTACAACAGAAGCAAGCTGTGCAAAGACTATATACAACAAACTCCAAACACAAGAAATGAGGACTAATCTACTGCTGGATTACTAAAGTCATCTGAGTCCTCTAAAAGAGGTAGAGTTTAAGGGCAGAATGGTAAAGGCTTGCTGTAAGGTAAAGGTATTGATAACCTGGAATTTTTCAGAGACATGTTGGTACTGGCCCTGAACTTGTCACTAATGAGCTGGCAATCTTTAAGGCCTGAATTTCATTTTCTATAACAGGGATTGGTAAACTCTAGCTCACAGGCCAATTTTGGCCTGCCAATCTGTTTTTGAAAACCCCTGAAGCATAGAGTGAAGGGGAGAAATTTTTGCCGACCCCTGCTCCAGAACAGCAGTGTATAACAAAACTTTCCACATTAGTGGAAATGTTCTTGGAGCTGTCCAAGATGGTAGTCACTAAATACTGAGATGGAAAAGCAGACTTAGTTTTTATCAGTTGAACAGTCTTATTTATTGCATAGCATAGCTCTAGAAAATGAAGACTTTAGTTTGAGCCTTGGACTTCAGATCAAGTATTCTCTAATATTCTCGTACTCTACATAATTTTTTAGAACTCATATACAGTTTTTAATCATATACATTTTTTTCCACCTGTAAAGAAAACCTCGGTTCTTAAAAAAATTTTCTTTCTTTTAACGTAAGCTTTACAAACAATGTGGGGCTTGAACTCAGGCCCCTGAGATGAAGAGTCGCATGCTCTTACAAAAAAAAAAAAAAAAAAAAAAAATCACATGCTCTATGATGCTGAGACTGAGACTGAGCCAGCCAGGAGCCCCAAGAACACTTCACTCTCACACTACTACCACACTCTCACCATTTCTGACACCAGATGTGTGTGTGGGTTATCCCCCACACCAAGCAAATCTGTGTCACCAGCTGGGTGTCCTACAGTTTCACTCAATTCTGACACTCTATATACCTGGAGTATCATTAGACCTCACAGGTTAAGGGCACAGTCCAACAAGACTGCCCCTCCCTCACTTCAGATGCCAATCACAAGTTCAAGTTGTTACCAGTGAACAAGTTTTGACCAGTCTCTGATATAAATCAGAGGTTCCCACAAACTACCCCGTCAGGTTTGATTAATTTGCTTGAGTAGTCTCAGAACTCAGGAAAATGGCTTCCTTACTGTTTATCAGTTTATTTTAAAAGGATATGAGAAAGGCTATAGATAAACATCTAGATGGGAGATGCACAGGGCAAGGCTATGTGGAAAGGGGCAATGAGCTTCCATGCCTTCTCTGGTATACTACTCTCCCAGCCCCTCCAAGTGTTCACCAACCTGCAAGTTCCCTAAACCCCACACTATTAGGATTTTTATGGAGGCTTCATTATGTGGGAATGATCAATTATTAACTCCCATTTCCAGCCCCTTTCCCCTTCCTGAAGAATGCAGTTGGGGCTGAAACTTCCAAGCTTCTAATCATTGCTTGGCCTTTCTGGTGACCAGCCTCATTAGAACAAGACATTCCAATCACCCAGGAAATTTCTGGATTTAGGAGCTCAGTGTCAGGAATCAGAGTCAAAGACTGAATAGTAGAACAAAAGATGCTCCTAGTGTTCTTATCATTTAGGGAACTTTAAGAGTTTTGGGAATTCTGGGGCACCTGGGTGGCTCGGTTGGTTGGGCATCTGCCTTCGGCTCAGGTCATGATCCCAGGGTCCTGGCAGGAAGCCTGCTTCTCCCTCTTCCTCTATGCTTTCTCTCTCTCAAATAAATAAAATCTTAAAAAAAAAAAAAAAAAAAAGAGTTTTGGGAATTATGTGCCAAGAATGGGAGCGGAGGCCAATACAGATATTTTTTCTGTTATTGCACACCACCCATCTGAGCTGAAACAAGTTAATGAGAACCTACACAACAAGAGACTATATACATTACCTATCCTGGTGTCACATAAGGCTGTCAGACATCTGAGGTCCTGATGGAGGCAGATTTCTCTCTCAGGTAAAGGCATCTAGGATTCAAAGAGGAAAGGAATGACAAGCTATCCCTAAGATAGGGTCCTCTCCTCAAAGAAAAAACAAAAAACTGTTTGCACCCAGACTAGGAACAACTCCACAGAAGGAGTTACTCCACTCTCAGAGGTGCAAAACGCTGCCGGAGAGTACTTAGCCACAACACCAAAACAGTGCTTGGAGCCAGACCTCAATAAAGGCAGTGTTTGCTCTTCCAACAGTGTAACACCATCCAAGGCATCACATTAGCCTGGATAGCTGACAACCACTGGGTGACTCCCAAAACAGCTACCCAGACATTCAAGTAGAAGATGGATACAGGTATCCTCATGAATTCAATGTTGACTGCAAACCACAAGCCTGGAGGCAGTGATGGCAGACTTTGCTGCCAAGCCCTTTAAACAAATAGCAAACAGGAACCCCTTTCCCATGCCTTCGGTCATTCTGTCCAACATTCATGGAATTCCTGCTATGTGCCAGGCACTATGACTGGGATCTAGCAGTGAACACCCAAGATACACCGTCCTTTTTTTAAAAGATTTTATTTATTTATTTGACAGAGTTCATAAGTAAACAGAGAGACAGACAGAGGGAGAGAAAGAAGCAGGCTCCCCGCTGAGCAGAGAGCCCAATATGGGGTTCGATCCCAAAACCCTGGGATCATGACCTGAGCCTAAGGCAGAGGCTTTAACCCACTGAGCCACCCAGGCGCCACTACACTGTCCTTTCTTTCCTGGACTTTATACTCTCCTTATACATTCTACAGATGGAATGGTACAGATAATCTCAGAGATCCTAAATGCCTTCAGACCATAACCACTGATATCCCACTTAGCTACACTGTCCTTTCTTTCCTGGACTTTATACTCTCCTTATACATTCTACAGATGGAATGGTACAGATAATCTCAGAGATCCTAAATGCCTTCAGACCATAACCACTGATATCCCACTTAGCCTTTCACTGCTCAGAGGCCAAACTTGTTGGGGGGCAAATATTGGTGATGTTGCTTTCTGATGGATACCAACTAGCAAACAGGCCTGCCACACAGGAAGCAGTCACTGTTGGAATGAATAGGGAGGGACATTTACCTGAGAATGCCATACCGACTGTTCACCAGCCACTAATTTCCTCTCTTCAGGAGGGCCAATGATGCCCTACTTTCAAGTCATCCTAAAAAAGAAAAAGATTTCACGGTTCAACACCCTATACTAAAACAGCAGCTCCTGAAGCTGCTTTTCTGTAGAAATGGAAACAATGCTGTCTGCCATTTATGATTTACCCTATTTTCAATACCTTTCAGAGTTATTTTATTTCCCATCATCTTTTTATTGCCTATAATTACCATTAAACTAACCGTTTCCCCAAACCCTCTAGATATCTCAACTCCTAAGACCCCATTTGTAAAAGGCTATTCACAATGAACATCTGAGGTATTCACACAAAGCACTCAACATTAAGCTAAGGGAACCCTTTTTAGGGAAAGGCAATTGATAGAACAAAGCTAGCTTTTATAGGGGCGCCTGGGTGGCTCAGTGGGTTAAAGCCTCCGCCTTCTGCTCAGGTCATGATCCCAGGGTCTTGGGATCAAGCCCTGCATCGGGCTCTCTGCTCAGCAGGGAGCCGGCTTCCTCCTCCTCTCTCTGCCTGCCTCTCTACTTGTGATCTGTCTGTCAAATAAATAAATAAAATCTTAAAAAAAAAAAAAAAAAAAGCTAGCTTTTATAAGGAACTCCCCTGCCTCCTAACATCCTCACCAGTTCCTCCTGTGGAATCCAGGATGTCACTTTCCACAGAAGCAGCAACTAAGTCAGCCTTATTGGATAATCTCCAGCATCACCCTGAGTGATAAGTATTTGCCTAGAACTGAGAAGCATCTCTTCTCAGAAAATTAGCGATCCAAAACAAAATCACTACAAAAAGGGACCCAGTATTTACTGCTCCAAAGGACTCTGTTCATTCCTGAAAATCAGTAAGAAACTCACAAAAATATATTATCAGCCTAAAGAAGAAATTAGTATGGTTGTAGCTAGGCCTACTGCCTAGAACCTCTCAGTCTACTGGTATTTTTCTCTTTTATTAAAGAGCCAGAGAAGAATGCCCATAATTTTAAAGCAACTTCACACCAAAATTTCCCTAATCAGGCGTTCCTATAGTTAACTAAATCAATGAAACCCTCGACAAAGGGATCAGCATGACTAGCTCTGTATGGTGCAGGAGTGGGGGCCAGGCACTTTGATTTGCAATTGAAAAATTGCAAAAATCCCACTGACTTTTTTCTCTGTACAAACCCCCTTTGGAGCATCTGGTAGGCACTCAAACAATAAAAAGGTGACTTTCTCCCTCAACTTCTACATTACTCATGGCTTGTTTACCTTTGTTCCGTTTCCAAGCAATGATTCAAATAACTTCATACTAGCCAAACCTGTTGAACAAGAACCACTCAAAAAGATTTGGATTTTTAGGTGTCCCCCTGCAAAATCATGCCCTTACAGATTTAACCTTTGTGAGTAAGCAATTATGCTGGCATCCTGGTATAGTTAATAACAGAGTTGGCATGAACCAGGCCCAGAATGCCAACCAGCTGTGGGCTGCTTCTCTCCCAGCAGTGTAACACTTGCCTAGGTACAGGTCAACCTAGGCAGCTGCCTACCGCTGGGGCAGAAGGCAGGCGAATGAAGTTGCACTCACCTGGGGCTGCCTCTGTCCAAAGCCCACGCCTGTCCCCCTCTGCAATCGAAGCACGCCAGGTTAGAGTCAGCCAACAGTAGTGAACACTTACGTGAAGTTTAAGACCTCTGCCCGCAAACCGCATAACTTATTTCTGAGTCATAGAAATAGACAAACAAAAAGCTATTCCTTGGTTAGCTTTATTTTCTCATATCATTTGTTACCCATGTGCCACAGCAACTCAACAGGGGGATTTTTTTTAACATTTTATTTTTAAGTTATTTTCACTCAACATGTGTCTCGCACTTAACAACCCCGAGATCAAGAGTTGTATCCTCTAGCGACTGAGCCAGCCGGGGCCCCTCAACAGCAGCATATTAAGGGTCTAGTCAACAAGTAGAAGGAAGCTTGGCTCTATCACTTAACAGCTAACAATGAACAATTTAACAATGAACAAGTAATTTAACCTCTTCGCACCTTCCAGTCTCATTTGTAAAATGGGAATGTTATCAATAATACTCTGTACACAAGCTGGTTGTTAGATCTAAAAAGAATATAAATTAAGCCTAAGAATATCTGGTATAGAATATGTGGTCAATAAACACTTGCTGTTATCAAAAGCTACATTCCAGGCAAGGAGATGAGGAATGGGGGGGAATAGGAGTGGAAAAATTATCCTGGGAGAGCAATGGGCAGTGAAAATCGTGAAGAATGGTTAGAACTAGACTGGAGAGGATGTGGATTATGAGACCTTTTGAGGAACAATAAAAGCAGTACTTTATAAAAACCGGATGTGATAATGGGTATGAAAGGAACTGGAAACAAGCTGCCATTCCTGCCAATGACCTCAAGTACTGGTTGAAAGCAGTAACCAAAATGTTTGCAAGAATGTTAATAAACATTCTTACCCATTCACCATAGTAATTTACCTTATTTCCATAAGATTAGGGTATCTAAGACAATACCTTTTTCCAACCAAGCTCTAATTTGACTCTTAACCAACTCCAAACAATTGAGAGAAAAGGTAAAATAGAGGGGGCTTATCGTTCAGGTCTAAAAAAAATGAATCTTAAAACAGTCTGCCCCTTTCAGGGGCTTGGGTTGAACGACCTGACCGAGCTCCACCCGGACACGTGCTCATCACAAATCTTCCCCAGCCCCTGGCCCTGGCGCCAGGCGTCCGGGAAGCGAGCCTCTCAGACCGGATCTAGGTGACTCTCCAAGGACAAGAGGGATGGTAGAATACAGGGGGCGACTCTAGGGCTACATTTTCCCAGCGACTCTTCAAGATGCCCTCCAAACCCGGGGTCATGGTGGAACGAACCCCAATTTCATTCCGAGCCTCGGAAGAAGCCTCCCCACCGCTGCCTCTCGCCCTGAACTGGTAAACCTCCACGGCTTCTCCCCGCTTGGCCCTTAACTCACCGGCACGTGTCTGGGAGCTCGGCCGGGGTACTCCCGCCAGAGCAGAGGCCGCAGGGGAAAGGACCGCACGAAGCGGAGGGGAGCCCCGCCCCGGGGCGGATACTGAGCAGGCCCTCAGTGGGCGGGGCCCGGAAGCCCCGCCCAGGAATGTCCGGGTTAGGAAAATGCGGGAGCGGTGGCCGAGGTGAGCATACTCCTTAGAGTAGCTACTACCTCACAATGAAAGGGGCAGGAATCTGCACGAGGGCTACCATTATTTGACTCCCATCCCGTTTGTTACCTACGAATGGGAGGGAGCATTGGGTTTGGACGTGCTAAAGACTAAACTTGGGGTGTCCGAAGGGAGGCCGTGCTTCCTACCTGCCCACAGCGGGTGCCCGTGGGACGCCCGTTCCTCTCGCTCGTGTGGTGCCTTTGGGTTCCTGCGGGAGCAGCTCACGCTTTTTCCACCTCCCGCTCAGATCTATCAGGCTTTCTCCAGTAGCTTTGTCTCTCGGCTGATGGCTTGCTCACCCACATAGGTCACCTCAGTTTTCAGGTTCTCTCCAGAAGATTTTCCAGTAGATGATGCCTGGCACCCCTCCAGCCTAACCCTGTGGGGCAGCATCCCTGGTGCCCTGCAGTAGGATCCTTAGGTGAGTTGCAGTCGCTCAAAAGCACTGGCTTTCTCTGTCAGAGTTGCCTTGCACCGTGGCAGTCTGCCAAAGATGCCACATCTGGAGTTGAGACAGATTGCCCACCAGGTTATCAGTATTTCTTTCGAACACTAAAACTTCCTTCTCCCATTAGCTGGAGTCAGTACGATTCTGTCCTGCTGAACAGTTGGTAAAGCTGGAGCTCCTCTCTTTCCTAGCCCCACGAAAGCCTATCAGGTCTGCTCATCTTTCACACCTGGCACCTTTGCCAGGCAAACCCATGGGAACCAGCCACTGCCCTTGGCATCTTCCAACATGTTTTATTATCTTCCCTCAGCTGTTATAATGAAAGCAAATGTGCTTCCTGTGCGCCCCAATCCTCACAGACCTCTGCTGAGAAAGGCCAGAGTGCAAAATTGATTCCAGCTACAGACAGACACTAGGCTCTAAGGCCAGAGAGACACAGGAGAAGTGGTAAGCACAAATCCTCCAGTTTTGATGGAGTTGGACACAGGCTCTGGTTGGAAAAAGGCTTACATAAATACGATAATTAAAAAAGTCACATGAGCAGTGCTGAGCGGGTAGGCAGGAGCTCTGCTTTGGAGTTAAATAGGAATGTGGCTGAAGACTGCCGCAATAATCAGTGCCTGTATCCATGTTCATAAAGGAGGGTTATGAGAGCTATAAAACCCTGCAGATTGGGTGGGTAATTGTCCTGTGGAGCTCTGCTAAAGGAGAAATTACATTGACATCTCATATATTTTGCTTTCTTTTCTTCCAAACACACAAAATGCAGAAAGAGACCTGCCCTGAGGATTCAGGAAAAGGAAAAATGAGGTTTGTTTGAATATGTGCATGTGTGCTTTCAGACAAGAGACAGGAAGTAATTGAGGCTAGTGATGGAGAGAAAGCCCAATGACCTGGGGACTACTGGATTCGTAGATTAGTCAGATACGAGGCAGGATTTTTGTGGAAGGCAGGCCAGCCATTATGAGTAAGGGTGAGTGGTGGGCCATGTTGTCTTGTCATTGACAGTGTAGTCACCTTTTTTTTAGGTATAGGGCATTCGGTGTCTTAACGAGGAAAACCTTGATTATGATTTTTGTATTTCCTAGTTAAAAAATTCTTCATAGTCAACCTTCTTAGCCTCTAACCTTTTAAATTCTAAATTCATTTTGGTGAGCTGATTGATGTGGTCTTTTGTTTCTTATTCTTTTTTTTCCTTCCGCGTTTTAATTTAATGTTTCTTATTCTTGCAAAGACAAAATTGTTAGGAACAATAACAAAAAAGAAAAGGAAAAATTTCTAGGAAAAAAAAATGCAACGAGATGAAAGGCAAAGGATTAAGGTAGTTCCATTAGCTCTGAGTTTCACCTCATAATCCTATCTAGCCCTAAGGGGCGCTAGGTCCCCAAACTTCTTGTGTGCCTTTCCCTTTCTCCTCCATCTAAATTGTCCTTGCTTCCCTTCTTTAAGCCTTTTCCCTTGAGACTGATCCCTTTCCTCTCCTGCCTGGACAGGAACCACCATTAGAGAAATGCTCAATCACATATTCAGTCAGTCAGCCAGCCAGCATTTACTGAGCATCTACCACTTGCTAGACCCTGTTCAGGAGCAGCAGATAAAGTCAGACCAATAGAGATCTCTGCTTACCTAAAGCTTACAATCTAGTGGGAGAAAAAGACAAAAAAGTATAGATATCCTTGGGCAGATGTCAGAGTCAGGGGGAGTACTAGAGATGGCAACATTTCCCCTGGATGATCCTAAGAGCTTAAAGTTAAAGAGGGATCCCTCCTTCATCCTTGTGTACTCTACTTCTCCTGCTGCTTCTCTGTAATAGCTATCCAGATTAGAGTGGGGCCCTGTAGTTTTCCTTGTTATTTCTCAAAAGCATAGTTGGATTGGTAAGGATATACAGAAATTGGAATCCTCATACACTTCTGGAGGGGATGTAAATTGGTGCAATTTCTTTGAAAAACAGTCTGGCAGTTCTTCAAATGATTATACATAGAGTTACTTTATGATTCAGCAATTCCACTCCTAGATATATACCCCAGAAAATGAAAATACATGTCCATACAAAACCTGTACACAGATTTTCATAGAAGCATTATTCATTATTCACAGATTTTCCTGGCAGCATTATATCAAAGGTTGTAATAACCCAAATGTCCATTAACTGACAAACAGATAAATAAAATGTGGGATATCCATACAGTTGAATATCATTTGGTTATAAAAAGGAATTAACTCATAAAAAGTACTAATTCATGCTATAACATGAATGAACCTTAAAAATATTACATTAAATGAAAGAAGCCAGACCATATATTGTTTGATTCCATTCATACAAAAGTCCAAAATACTAAAAACTATAGAGACAGAAAATAGATTAAGGGCTGCTTAGGTCTGAAGGGAAGGGAGTGGAAAAGTCAAGGTTCTAGGTTTCTTTTTGAGGTAATGATGAAATATTCTAAAATTGTGATGGTTGTGCACATCTGTGAATATAATAAAAACCACTGAACTCTATACTTTATATTGGTGAATTGTATAGTATGTGACTTATATACCAAAAAAGCTATTAAAACAACAATGAAAAATATACTAGGGGGCGCCTGGGTGGCTCAGTGGGTTAAGCCTCTGCCTTCGGCTCAGGTCATGATCTCAGGGTCCTGGGATCGAGCCCTGCATCGGGCTCTCTGCTCAGCAGGGAGCCTGCTTCCTCCTCTCTCTGCCTGCCTCTCTGCATACTTGTGGTCTCTGTCTGTCAAATAAATAAATAAAATCTTAAAAAAATATATATATATATACTAGGAGACATGAAAGATACGCAGTTCTGATTAAAATTGTGGTCTGCATGGTCATTAGATTTTTAGAGAGGACTTTTTTATCCTGGGTCCTATAGCCCCTCAGAGTTCCTTCCTCAGTATAGAGAGAAGTTAATACATTTGAGTGGGCAGCGTGAACAGATGTAAAGGAGCAGACTGTGCATTCCCATCCTTGCACGCCCTAGCTTCCCTTCCTCATAATGATTTGGTTCAACATTTATGGTATTCCTACTGCATACAAGACTTACAGACCTGAAAGAGACAGAGTCTCTTTATACCTTCCAGTGGCAGAAATTAAATCATTAATACAATGCTGTTTATAAAAACAACTATAGCTCTTTCGGAGATAGGAAGTGTGACAGAAAGAATCGTTGTGAGGCATCTTGGGACTCTGGACTCTGGACTTTTTCTATAGCATGTAGGGAAACATTCGTAATGACATCATTTCCCAGTCCTTCTTGATGTTGAGCAAGTTCCAAGAGTTGACTCCCTCCTCACATGCCTCCAATCACCTCTTCACTTGGTTTCTAGACTCAATTAGTCTATTTCCATACCCTTCATTTTCTCACCAACTCCACCCCCACAATGTCCAAATTGGCCCTCCAATGCTGAAGCCATTTGCCAGAAATTCATTAAGCTGAACACATGGGAAATTACAGAGGAGATTTCACTTGTCACTTAGGCTCAAATATAGAAAGTAATTTTAAAAGGACAGTGGCAAGAGGCTATTTTTATCTTGCTTGTTTGTGCTGAGTTTTCTTATCTTGCTGTCTCTCAGTCTCTTCCTAGCTACCTCTCTTCTCCTTCTTTAAATTAAATGTTGGCCTTTTAAATCTTTTTCTCAGATTCTCTTACCTTGTTTTACGGAGTCTTCTCTTTCTGGTGGTAGGCACTAGGAGAGATGGAGTGATGAAGAAAACAAACATGGCCCTTACCGTTATGGAGATTACAGTCTGATGAGGCAGGCGGACATCAGGTGGAGTGAGATCAGATTTGGTCACAGGAAAGCCTTGAGGGAATTACTTACACTTTTTTGATGTTAAGTGTACCCTCCAGTAAATGGACATATGATAATTGCCAGAATCCCAGCATGTTAGGGCCTAAACCTAATATATCACAAACAATGGAAAGAAACCAACGGTCCAGGTTTCTGTGTGACATAGTCAAGCCCCCTGGGTAAAGAGAACATGGATTTGGGAGTCGGATGTTGGTGAGATTCTAACTCCACCACCTTGCATGTCAGCTGTTTGACCTCTGGACATCAGTACCTTTGCCTATAAAATGGGAATTATAATCTCTACATTTTCGGTGGTTGTGAAGATGGAATGAGATGTCGTATATAAGGGACCAGGCAGGTGCTTATCCCATGTTACTTCCTTTCTCATGACCTCCCTATTCCCACTTTAAATCACACAGTTGAAAAAAAAAAAAAAAAGAAGAAGAAGAAGAAGAAGAAGAAGAGCCCAGTCTTCCAGTTGGTAGGAAATGGGGTTCCTCGAATAATATTCATCAATCATATGCACAGAGAGATGGGTTATAACCATATTAATTAGTGTAAGTTGCTCTGTATATGCAACTTAGGACAGACAAATTGCTCC